AGGAGGAGGGGCAGAGGGAGAGGGAGAATCCTCAAGCAGACTCCCTGCTGAGTGCGGGCGAGATGCAGGGCTCACCCTGCATGACCCTGAGATCATGACCTGAGCCAAAATCAAGAGCCAGCTGCTTAACCAACTGAGCCACCCAGGCACCCCCGCACCGCCCCCATTCATTTTTACATTGGATTGTTTTTTGTTAAGTGGTAAGAATTCTTTCTATATTCTGTATACTAAACCCGTATCCTATAAATGATATGCAAATCCTTTCTCTCATTCTGTAGGTCATCTTTTCACTTTCCTGATAATTTCTTTTGATGGACAAAAGTTCTTAATTTTTATGAAGTCTTTGTACCCTGCAACTTTGCTGAATTCACTTATTAGCTCTAGTAGTTTTTCAATGGATTCTTTGGGATTTTCTATATATATGGAATTATGTCACTTGCAAATAGTTTTACTTCTTTCTTTCCAATTTGGGTGCATTTTATTTCTTTTTGTTGTTCAAATGCTCTGCCAAGACTTCCAGTACTATGTTGAATAGCAGTAGTGAACTTATGAATCCTTATTTTTTAAAATCCTTTTATTTTTTAATTTAATTCAATTAATTAATGTATTATTGGTTTCAGAGGTACAGGTCTATGACTCATCAGTCTTCTGTAATACCCAGTGCTCATCACATCACATGCCTTCCTTAATTTCCATTACCCAGTTACCCCATCTCTCCACCCTCCCTCCCCTCTAGCAACACTGTTTGTTTCCTATGATGGTTGTCTCCCTTTCTGGTTTCATCTTGTTTCATTTTTTCCTCACTTCCCCTATATCCTATTTTGTTTTTTAAATTCCACATATCAAAAAAAATAAATTCCACCTATCAGAGAGATCATATAATTGTCTTTCTCTGACTTATTTCACTTAGCATAATACCCTCTAGTTCCATTCACATCATTGCAAACAGGATTTCATTTTTTTTTTTTTTTTTTTGATGGCCGTGTAATGAATCCTTATCTTGTTCCTGATCTTAGCAAGGAAGCTTTAGGTCTTTTGCCACTAAGTATGCTAGCTGTTGGTTTTTCATAGATGCCCTTTATTTAATGTTCTGGAAGCATTCCTAGTTTTCTGAGTGTTTCTGTCATGATAGGGTATCAAATTTTGTCAAAAGCTTTTTCTGCATCAGTGGATCTCATGGTTTTATTCCTTTGTTCTATTAACGTGGTGTATTACATTTTCTTTCTTTCTTTTTTTTAAAGATTTTATTTATTAGACAGAGACACAGCGAGAGGGAACACAAGCAGGGGGAGTGGGAGAGGGAGAAGCAGGCTTCCCGCGGAGCAGGGAGCCTGATGCGGGGCTCGATCCCAGGACCCTGGGATCACGACCTGAGCCGAAGGCAGATGCTTAACCGACTGAGCTACCCAGGTGCCCGATTTTCTTTTGAACTACTCTTGTATTTCTGTGATAAATCCCACTTGGTCATGGTGTTTAATCTTTTAAATGTGCTGTTGGGGGGCGCCTAGGTGGCTCAGTCCATGATCTCAGAGTCCTGGGATCGAGCCCCACATCAGACTCCTTGCTCAGCTGGGAGTCTGCTGGGGATTCTCTCTCTCCCTCTGCCCCTCCCCTCCTCTTTCCCTAAAATAAATAAATCTTTAAAAAAAATAAATGTGCTGTTGGATTTAGTTTGTTAGTATCTTGTCGAAAATTTTTGCATCTATATTCATAAAGGATATTGGTCAATAGTTTTTTTCCTTGTTATCTTTGTCTGCAGTTCACTTAACTTTAAATCCATAACTAAGAGGAGAAATAAGCCAGTTCTGTAATTCTGAGCTGATCATAGTAGTGCCAGATAAAGAATATTATCAAAAGAAATTTTAAATCTTCCTGAGACATAAAATCCATGACTTTAGTGATTTAAACTTGAAAGACTTTTTCTTGTGTCTACTATAGAGAATGCTGTATACTTGGCATTGAAAGAGATGTTTGTCTTGGCTTCCATGATGGCTGGTTATTAGATAAAATAATAATTTGGCCTCACGACTCCCTCGGATAGAAGGAAGGTCCGGGTCTTGAGAAGTAAATGGTTAGTGAAACATAGAACATGAAAGATATGAGCACCCTAATACAGAACAAAAGGTTTTTCTTGACTTTTGTTTCATTCCACCTTCCCATTAGAGAAAAAAGTTTATCTTATTTTCTCAATGTATTTCTGTAAATGACTATCTTTCTATTTCCTACGCATTTAGAAAGCTGGGGTTAAGAGCAAAAGCTCGCTGCCTGATTATGTTTGCACTGATAGTTCAAAGATATTTTAACACTGACCCACCCGGATTCCTCATCTTCCTTCAAACTGTTCCCTATCAGCCAGGGTGGAGGGGACACTGGAACGGAGGGACTCGACAGAGTAGAGCCGGCCCCGTTCTCCCCGCGCCTCTCTCCTGCCTTGCCGCCTGCCGCAGATCTTACAGACCTGCCGAAATACAAGCTGATGAAGGCAAGCGCGCGGGCTTGGTCAAGCCTGGGAACAGAGTCTGTGGCATTTCAGGGAAAGAATTTTGCCCTTGCTGGCTGTGGGGACCCTGCGGGCACAGCCACGGAGCTTTCCCTTGGCTGGGCTTGTGCCGTGCCAGGCAGAGCACCCGCATACTACAGTGCAGCCCAGACACCATCAAACCAGTGTGCGAAAACCTTACATGCGGAGAGGGAGGGAGGTGTGCACACACTTAACAGAAGAAAAACTGGTCCTCTGGCATTCTTTCAGTTAGGTTCTTTATAGCTCGGATGAAGGCCTGGTGTGCTTTAGTGGTGTGGCAAGCCTGTGCAAATAAGTGACATTTTTGAAGTACCTTCTCTGTCTAAACTCCTTTCTACTAATTAAGTGAAGCTAGACAGCAGTGCTGGCTTGTTCCTTCAGCTTCACGTTCGTACACATGCCTACGACCCAGGAGGGGCAAGCTGTGAGGGTTACCACAAGAGCCCGCGGTCTCCAGTGTCATTAGATGAAGACCAGGAAGAAAGGGTGGCTGTTGCCAGACATACAAACAGCACAGCTGCGGGCCAGGCATCTCCCCAAGCTCTACCAGGATTTCTAGGGACAGGGAACTGCTAGCCTCACTGTCACTGTGACCCCCATCCTCTGCTGGGGCCTTTCTTGCAGCTTGGGAGCTGCAGGTGGGCCCTAGGGATGGGAGTCTTTTTTGGGCTTGGCCATTGCAGGGTCAGTCAGCTCGGGCAGTGGAGGAGTCCAGCTGATCTTTTGGCTGTGCAAGGATGACTGGGTAGGGCACCACAAGGCTATCCCTAAGTCATTAGGTCGAGCCATAGGAAATTGTCAATATTTGACCATTCTGACCTTTGAAAATGGCTATTTCATGTGGTTCAACCTAAACTTTTAGTAAGGAGAAAGAAAGGAATGAAACTGAAGCCCAGACTATTATCTGCAGTAGATTCTATTCAATCTATTAGAAGTAGAATAGGTTTCCTAGAACATTAGTCTCCCAATTCATTTTTTCATCTTTCATTTGTTTTAAGGTTCTGTTATGGGTTGAACTGTGTCCTCCCAAAAGGTATGCTAAAGTCCTAATCCCCCACCTCATAATGTGAGCATATTTGGAAATGGGGTCTCTCTTTTTTTTAAGTAGGCTCCACGACCAGCATGGAGCCCAGTGCAGGGCTTGAACTCACGATCCTGAGATCAAGACCTGAGCTGAGACCAAGAGTTAGATGCTTAACTGACTGAGCCACCCAGGGGCCACAGAAATGAGGTCTTTATTGAGGTAATCGAGTTAAAGTGAGGTCATTGGTGTGGGCCCTACCAATGACTTGGTGTCCTTATACAAAGGGAGAAATTTGGCCAAAGGGAAGATGATGTGAAGGCAGGAATGATGCATCTACAAACCAAGGAATGACTGAGGCTACCAGCAGCTAGGAGAGAGGCTTGAGTAATTCCTTCCCTATGGCCTTCAGAGGGAGCTTGGCCTTGTAGAAACCTTGATTTTGTACTTCTGGTTCCCAGAACTGTGAGGCAATGAGTTCCCGTTTTTTCAAATCACCCAGTATGTGGTACTTTGTCATGGCAGCCCTAATGTGAAGGTCTGAATGTTTGTTCCTGCTCCTGCCTTCCTATGTTGAAATCCTAATGGTATTAGTAGGTGGGCCGTACAGAAATATGTAAGTAATGAAGTGGAGCCCTCATGAGTGGGGTTAGTGCCCTAAGAAGAGGATCTAGAGGATCTCTAGCCCCTTCTACCACATGAGGACACAGTGAGAAGGCGCCAGCTATAAGCCAGTAAGCTAGCCCTCACCAGGAGGTGACTGTGCTGGTGTTCTGATCCTTAACTTTCTAGGCTCCAAAGCTGTGAACAAGAAATTTCTGTTGTATACAAGCTACCCAAGTCTGTGGTATTTTGTTACAGCAGCCTGAATGAAGATACCTAGAAAGTAAATATAGGTTCCTTCAGTGATGATCAACTACGTTGTTGGTAAGACACAACAGGACAGCTTATGTTAAAAATGGTCCTGTTGTTTAATCCCTAGGATCCAGATCTGAGGTATTCATTCATTCCTATAGAACTAGTTGGACTTCCTACCGTGGCCAAAACCATTTGTTTGGATACAATAAAGTTAGCTTTGTTCGTTCCTTCTTTCTTTCTTCCTTCCTTTTTTCTTTTTTGATGTAGTATTCCATGATTCATTGTTTGCATATAACACCCAGTGCTCCATGCAGAACGTGCCCTCTTTAATACCCATCACCAGGCTAACCCATCCCCCCACCCCCTCCCCTCCAGAACCCTCAGTTTGTTTTTCAGAGTCCATCGTCTCTCATGGTTCGTCTCCCACTCCGATTTCCCCCACTTTGTAACACACACACACACACACACACACACACATACACACACACTCCTTCTTTTGGTTTTCTGGCTTTTCAAGTTTGTGGTAAGAGTTTCAATGTGAATTTTTTCTTCAGTCTGCAATGGGGCAGATATCATGCTTGTGCAACCTTAAGGAGCCCATTCAAATTTAGGAGAACCAGAAATTTATTCTAAGGAGACACAAAGAATTGTTGATACCGTCACACGGAGTCCTTCTGTGTTAAAGAGTTTCGAAGGTGGAAATAGAGCTCCTGGAGTTGTACTCCAAAGATTTGTTGAGGAAGATCAGTGTTAGCAGGCTTCACCCTCTGGGGGACTCAAAAGTAGGTAAGAAGAGCAGAACTGAAGACAACAGCTTCTTCTGAAGGGAAGGAATGCAGATTGGTGTAGAATGCACCAGAAGCTCTTTTATGTCAAACTTTTTTTAGGATCCAGTTTTACAAATAAACCTAAACAAACAAAATAACACAAAGTGATTGTAAGTCAGCTGACTACAGTCAGAAGGGACTTCTCTGAGTAGATATATAGGTAAGGAAAGCGATTTTTTTAAAACAGATTTTTTTTTAACAGAAGCACCTTTCATTTTTATTTATTTATTTCTTAAAAAGATTTTATTTATTTGACAGACAGCGAGAGAGGGAACACAAGCAGGGGGAGTGTGAGAGGGACAAGCAGACTCCCCGCTGAGCAGGGAGCCCGACGCGGGGCTCAATCCCAGGACCCCGGGATCACGACCTGAGCCAAAGGCAGACGCTTATCGACTGAGCCACTCAGGCGCCCCAGGAAAGGGATTTTGATTCATATTTGTACCTTCCATCTTTGGGCCTACTCTCCTTTCTTAGCCAAATTAAGAATCAGCTCTTGACTATCACAATACAATAGTGCCTCTGGGAACCGGTCCTCTCCCACTTGGTCATTTCATGGTTCATTACCACTTCCATTAGAGATAGTCAGGAAAGTGAAAGGAAGTGAAATTACAACTAAGCCATCTGGAACCTTTGATACTGAAAGCCTTAGGGAGATAGGACACATAAACCACAGCCTGGAATGGAGTCTTTAAATTGACTATGGATTCAAATTATTCAGGATCTTATTCCTGCTTCTTTTATCCATTATTTCTGCAAACAGATGATACTTGGCAGGGAGTGGGGAGGAGGAACGAATAATAAGACATAAAAAGCATTAATGATAAAGGAAAAAAAATGTAATAAATACAACTATAGTAACATGAAAAAAATCTTCTGTTCATAAAAAAAAGATACCTTAAGGCAAATAAAAGTTAACTTAGATACTGGAAGGTAGAGTTATATGTCCAATAAAAACATTAATACAAAATAGAGAAAGAACTCCTGTAAATCAGTTAAAAAAAGGGGGGGAAAACAACAAAAGAGGCTGAACAAATAGGAATTTTACAGAATGGGAAACAAATATGATAAATGTATGAGGAGATGCTCATTTTCATAGGTGATCAGAAAAATGCAAATCAAGATCACACAGAGATAATATTATATAACCATTTGATTGGCAAAAATTCAGAAGTCTGACTTTACCAAATGCTAGAGAAGACAGGGATCAACAGAATCTCATATATTGCCGGTGGGAGTATAATTTAGTAACAGCTTTAGAAAACAAGCTGGTGTGTTCCCCTGTGAAGCTGAATACTCCCATACTCTACAACCCAGAAATTCTACTCCTAACTATATGCCAAGCTCTCGTCCGTGTACACCACCAGAACGTTCACAGCAGCCCACTCACCAGAATCCAAGGCCCATGGGAGACCTGGTGTCAGTTAGGCTACCAACTCTTGATTTTGGCTCAGGTCATGATCTCAGGGTTGTGAGATCGAACCCCACATCAGGCTCCAGGCTGGGTGTAGAGTCTGCTTAAGATTCTCTCTCTCCCCATCCCTCTCTTTAAAAGAGTCCAAAGTCCAACATCTAAAGCGGAGATAAATCCACTGTGGTATACTCACACAGTGGAATATCACTAAACAGGAAAAATAAGGAAACTACGTGCCAACAACAGAGTGAACTTCAGTAATGTGAAGCTGAATGAAAAGAAAACCAACTCCCAGAAAAGTACATATAGCGTGATCTCTTTTTTGCAAAGTTCAGAACAAACAACTAAACTGTACATTCCTATCAGAGAAAGACAAGTATCATATGACCTCACTGATATGAGGAATTCTTAATCTCAGGAAACAAACTGAGGGTTGCTGGAGTAGTGGGGGGCGGGAGCGATGGGGTGGCTGTGTGATAGACATTGGGGAGGGTATGTGCTATGGTGAGCGCTGTGAATTGTGCAAGACTGTTCAATCACAGACCTGTACCTCTGAAACAAACATTATGTTAAAAAAAAAAGATGGTAGGAAGGGAAAAATGAAGAGGGGGATGTTGGAGGGGGAGACGAACCATGAGAGACTATGGACGCTGAGAAACAAACTGAGGGTTTTAGAGGGGTGGGGGGATGGGTTAGCCCGGTGATGGGTATTAAGGAGGGCACGTACTGCATGGAGCACTGGGTGTTATATGCAAACAATGAATCATGGAACACTACATCAAAAATCAATAATGTAATGTATGGTGACTAACATAATAAAATAAAATAAAAAATATAAACAAATAAACTGTACATTCCTCAGATACACACATATATTCTTGATACAACTTATGAAAATAACAAATTAGGTATAAGCAAATAGAACACTGTATTTTAATTATACTTCAAAAATTTCAGGGGAAAGCAGGAGGATGAGATGGGAAAGTAATTAGGTAGGGGTATGCTATTAAGATTCTGGTTCTTGGCTGATGGTAGGTGTTCAGGGTGTTTCTTTTTAAGTCGAAAAGTACATCAGTGAATGAATAAATAAAAAGATGACTGTTTCATGCATCAAGGATGCCTATTGTGTCCTAACTCAAAGATTCTGATTAAGCCAAACCTGGGCATCTGAGGTCCCTTAAAATAAAACAGAATAGAAACAAACAAAAAGCACCAGATATCTAAATTGTCTACATCTGAAGCTACGGAATGTAAGGCTTCAAGGGCTCTTCCCTTGCAAAGGCTCCGTCAGAGCAGGGGCTGGGAGTGCTCAGGGATGCAGTCTGGAAGCACTTCTGATAAACTGCTCATGGTGAGCACAGAGGGAAGGGCCCTGCATCTCTAGACAGCAGCAGCAGGAGCATGTTGTGGTCTCTTTCCTCATTTTAAATAAAAACGCACATTTGTACCCAATTTTGCATTCTTTTTCTTTAATTTCTTAAACTGTGCAAGCTTTAGGTGCCACAAAACCTAGCTCTTGTCCTGCTAATCCACTCACATAATCATGTTGCAAGGTACACAAGGGCCTACGGTGGACTCTCCCTCCAACCTACCTGGTCCTCTTCCCAGAGGAAACCAATGTTTGGGTCACATTCCTGAAGGTCTATGCAACACAAGAATATACAGATATTTCCCCCTCCCTCCCATGTATTACTTTTTCCTTTGAAATGTCAAACTGATAGAAAAACTGTGAGACTAGTACAAAGAATGGTCTCCTCTGGAACCACTGGAGATTAACTTACCAAAATGTGTGTAAAATGACAATATACGAAGTTACTCACAATGTTATTTCTAAGAGCAAGAGACTAGGAAAACATTCATGTCCAAGATCTCCAATTCCAACCCAACACCACAGGGTTCATTCTAGTTTTCTCTTTCTGTATCTGGAAATCCCTTCTCTGACAGTAAGGCACCTGGCCCCCCTCTCGGCTGCCAGCCCGTGTAAACGCCACCGTCCCGCATAGGCTCTGACACGCTGCACTGAGCCACTTGCCCGTGTGGACACCCTCTTCACTCCACTCAGGCTCCAACCCGGTGCTCGGCCCCCACAGCCCCATCTTGCTGCAGCCTCCAGGCCAATCCCAAGCCTACCATGCCCACTCTACCTAATGGCTTTTGGAATAAATTATTCAGGAAGGAAGGAAGGAAGGAGTAAAATAGAAAGAGGGAGAAAAGGGGAAGAGAATGCAAAGATCTCTCTACATTTTCTCTATTAGTGATAATGATACTACATTCACAGTCCTGCATGTTGTGCTTTTCATTCAATACGTATTGAGACAGCCCCATAATTAAAGAATGTCCTTATTACTTATGGCACCATAATATGCCACAAAATGTTTTGTGGCACACACACTGTGGTTGCTCAACCAGCCTCCTACTGATGGGTAGCTATGTTTCAGCAATCTTCTGCTATTCCAAATAGCTTCACATGAGTAACACACTTACTGTGACAGCAGGGCAACACATTGTAATTTTGCACACTTTGGTACACCTGTGGGATCAGGTCCTGGAAACAGGTGAAAAAGAGCACACGACTTTGTAGTTTTGATAGATTTTGGCAAGTAGCTCTCTACCAGTAATGTTTAAGAATACCTTTAACTTGTTTTTTTACATGATAGGGAATTGAGAATTTTTGGGCATTTGCGGGTTATAAAACCAAAGCAAAACAAAAACAAAACCCAACAACTCCCAAGCCCCCAAATACAAAACCCAAGAAACTAAACCAGACCAAAAAAAGACATAGCGATAGTTTCTTACTTGTTGCCTCAGAGTATAGGGTCTTTTCATCCACACTTTGGACATTACAGGAAACAAACAATTTCCTTCCTTCAACTTTATCAAGCTGGCTATTTATCACAACAACAGAACAAAGGGGGATAGGCCTGCACAAGAAAAAAAAGGAGACAAAATTTGTTTTTATTAATGTAACACTGAGATGACCAAGTGTTTGAGAAGGGGTGGAAATCTATAATAGCTGGTATCAGAATGTGTCAGATAAAACTGTCTCAGATCAGACACCCCTTCCCTGGGCTGAACCCAGGGGCCATCCACACCCCCCTTCCTCCTGAGTGCCACTGATTTCAGGTGGGCCCAGGCTGCCCTTGGCGTTAGCTTCAGAGACCACTGGGGATTCTAGCTTTTCGATGGCACAGGCTGTCCCATCTGAAGACCCAGAGCAAAGTCTGAAGGGTGCTGGAATCCTTTAAAGACATGAAAACAGGACCATGGACTATGGGATGGTCCCATCAGCAGCTCTCATTTTCTATCATAATCCAAATTTCTTACCCAATCCCCTTTAGAGTGACTGTCACTAGAAAGACACCCAATAACAACAAATTGCAGTAACAGCTTAATGTACTAAGCCGGGGCTGTCCAAGAGAACTTTCTGTGGTGATAGAAATGTCCCACCTCTGAGCTGTCCAATACAGTAGCCACCTTACAACGAATACCCAAAATGTGGCCGCTGTGAATGAGAAACTGAATCTTTAAATTTATTTAATGGATTTATATTTAAATTTAAATAGCCACATGTGACCAGTGGCTACAGTCACCTTTGGGAATCCTGGAGACAGAGTGCCATGATGAAAAAGGTGCCTTTTTAAAGGTGAAATGTTATTTGGCAGAACCATAACGTGGAGCAGGATGGGTTCTGTGCTCCCTCAGTGCCCCCATGGAAAGGAACTCCTCCAGGCAGAAGGAAAGTCATCACAGTGGTTACCTCAGCCCAGTTTTCGCTCCCATTAGCTTGTCCTGAACCTCCTGATGGAACAACCAAACTTTGCTTTTATTTCTTTAAACATCTCTTTATATCCTCTGCTATACTGTGTGTCTGATTATCACGGTATCTTACGTCCCCGAGCGACTAAATCTGTTATTTACTCTTTCTGCTGATTCTCACTTCTGGTGGTTTACTTCCTCATGGCTTATATCCTTGTAAATTTGACACAGGATCTACTGTTCTAAAGGAAAAATGTCCTTCAAAATTTCTTGTCTGCTATGTTGCTTGCGGAAGTCTAACCTAGGGCTTCCCAATCAATATGCCATGAATAACTTGCAAAAATGCTCAGCTATCGATTCTTTCACAGCTGGCTAGCTACCACTAATCATTAGCTGCTTTGGCTATTTATCTGAATCTGCTAAACACAAAGTATGACATTTGTATCAGGTGTTAGGAAATTATCAGACCTGAGGAAGAGGCAGTCTCGCTTCTTAGAAGGAGGGTGGATTAAGACACCCCATGCTTGACACTGTAAATTATCTTCAATTAAACTTAATCCCAGGTTGTTATTTCTCGTCCCCCAGAGGGCCACCAATTGATTTAAATTTATAATTATTACTATTATTATTATGAATCTAACAACTATACACAACAGATAAGGTCTGACAAATGTAAAACTACAGCTAACCCTTGAACAATGTGGGAGTTAGGGGCACTGACTCCTGCACAGTCAACAACCCATGTAGAACGAGACCGCCCCAAAATGTAACTCTTAACTGTCTACTGTGGACCAGAATCCTTACTGATAATATAAGCAGTCAATTAACACATATTTTTAAGTTATATGTATTTTCCACTGTATTCTTATAATAAAGTAAGCCAGAGAAAAGAAAATGTTAAGAAAATCATTAAGAACGAGAAAATACATTTACAGTACTGTATTTATTGGAAAAAAAAAATCCAAGTATAAGTTGACCCATGCAGTTCAAAGCTGTGTTGTTCAAGGATCAACTGTACTTACATCACCCAATGCTTTATTCTGGTTTTTAATCATCAATTAATAGAAAAGAATGAAGGTTGTGTGTTGTAGTGAAGAGCACCAAGGATTCAGAAAACTTCGGTTCTGATCCTGACTATAGTCTCTCTATCCATGTGATTTCATGGAAAACTGGTTTTTAGTAAGATTTCTAACTGTGGGTAACAAATGAACAGCAACACAATGGATTTATGTGGATAGTTTGTTGGATGGGACAAGGACTAAGCATAGGGCCTGGCAGGTAGCATGTGCTCAAGACACAAATACTTGTTAAGTTAAACTGTAATCCAAATACTTCGCTGACCTTGTTTTCAAATGAACCTTTTTTAATTGAGAAGGGAGGCTGTAGTATTCTTCAACTTTATTTGAACAAGAAAAAGATTTTTTTTAAATTTTTATTTATTTATTCATGAGAGACAGAGAGAGAGAGGGGCAGAGGGAGAAGCAGGCTCCCAAGGAGCAGGGAGCCCGATGCGGGACTTGATCCCAGGACCCCGGGATCATGACCTGAGCCGAAGGCAGATGCTTAACCATCTGAGCCACCCAGGCGCCCAAGAAAAATATTTTTAAAAAAACATGGAACATGGGGCGCCTGGGTGACTCAGTTGTTAAGCCGAGCCTTCGGCTCAGGCCATGGTCCCAGGGTCCTGGGATCGAGTCCCACATTGGGCTCTCTGCTCGGCAGGAAGTGTGCGTCTCCCTTTCCCACTCCCCCGGCTTGTGTTCCCTCTCTCGCTGTGTCTCTCTCCGTCAAATAAATAAATAAAATCTTAAAAACATAAATAAATAAATAAATAAAAGTAAAAAACATAGAACATGGAAAGATATTAAAAACTTAAATTTTAATATATTTTTATCACGTTGAAAAACCATCTCTGGGATCTAATTTTATAGTATAAATATATAAACTGTTTAATGTCAATATATAAAAAACATACACTGTATATATGTATAAAGGTATAGATAAATGCATATATATAAATGTATAAAATAAAGTCAACGCATAAAACATTGACTAGGGGCGCCTGGGTGGCTCAGTTGTTAAGTGTCTGCCTTCGGCTCAGGTCATGATCTCAGGGTCCTGGGATTGGGCCCCGCATCGGGCTCCCTGCTCGGCGGGAGGCTTGCTTCTCCCTCTCCCACTCCCCCTGCTTGTGTTCCCTCTCTTGTTTTCTCTCTCTCTCTGTCAAATAAATAAATAAATAATCTTAAAAAAATTTTGACTATATGTAAAAATGACAATTTTTCCCAAGTTAACCTTTAAGTTAATGTAACTGCTATCAAAATCACATTGTTTTTTGGTAGATTTTGACAAATTTATCCTAACTTTCATTTGATTCACTCAAACGATACAGAGAAATGGTAGGTAAGACACAGGATTATATAAGAGAAGGTATGATGACAGTCTGGGTGAGCAGTTAAAAATCTCAAAATCAACTAGGAATAAAGGAAACTACCTCAACATAATAAAAGTCATATAAGAAAAGCCCTCAGCTAACATAACACTCAATGAAGAAAGACCGGAAGCTTTTCCTCCTAGATCAGAAACACAACAAGGATGCCTACTTTTGTCACTTCTACTCAACAATTCCATTTTTATACATTAACAGTGAATAATCAGAAAAAATTAAGAAAATAATTACATTTAAAAAAACATAGAAAAATAAAATACTTAGGAATAAACATGACCAAGGAGGCAAAAAAACATGTACACTGAAAACTACAAAGCCCTATTAAAATAAATTAAAGACACATATAAATGGAAAAATGTCCTGTGTTCATGGACTAGAAGAATATACTGTTAAGATGTCAATACTACACAAGGCAATTTATAGATTGAATGCAATCCTAGAAAATCCCAATAGCATAATTTTTTGTAGAAATCGAAAAATCCATCCTAAAATTCAGAGTCTCAAGGGACCCTGAATAGCCAGAACAGTCTTAGGAGAAAAAAAAAAAAAAGCTGCAAGTCTCACACTTCCTGATTTCAAAACACATTACAAAGCTATAATAATCCAAACAGTGTGGTACTGGCATTAGACAGACATACAGACCAATGAAATAGAACAGAGAGCCCAGAAATAAACCCTCTCGTATTGGTCAAATGATTTTCATTAATGGTATTAAGACCACTCAATGGAGGGTGCCTGGGTGGCTCAGTGGGTTTAAGCATCTGCCTTCCCAGGGCAAGCTCCTGGGACTGAGTTCCACATTGAGCTCCCTGCTCAGCAGGGAGTCTGCTTCTCCCTCTTCCTCTGCCCGCCCCCTACTTGTGCTCTCTCTCAAATAAATAAAATATTTAAAAAAATGCAAATCAAAGCACAATGAGATATCACCTCATACCATTAGATGGCTACTATCCAACAAAAATAAAACCCAAGATAACACATGCTAGCAAAAAGATGCGCTGTTGATGGGAATGTAAAATGATGCAGCTGTTATGGAAAACTGTATAGTGGTTCCTCAAAGAATTAAAAATAGAACTACCATGTAATCCAGCAATTCCACTTTTTGGTACTTATTCAAAAGAACTGAAAGTAAGATTTCACTGAGACATTTGCATCTCATATTCATTACAGCATTATTTATAATAGGTAAGCAGTGGCAACACCCCAAATATCCAATGATGGATGAATGGATAAACAAAATGTGGTATATACATGATGGAATATTATTCAGCCTTAAAAAAGAAAAAAATCTGGGGTGCCTGGGTGGCTCAATCAGTTAAGTCTCCAACTCCTGATTTTGGCTCGGGTCATGATCTCAGGGTTGTGAGATCAAGCCTCGCACTGGGCTTGGCACTCAGGCACACTGTGCTTGAGATTCTCTTCCTCTCCCTCTCTCCCTGCCCCTCCCCCACTTGCTCTCCCTCTCTAAAATAAATATATCAATCTTTGAGAAAAAAAAAAGAAAATGAAAAAATCCTGTCACCTGCTACAACATGGGAAAACTTGAGGACATTTCGCTAAGTAAAATAAGCCAGTCACAAAAAGAGAAAATGTATGATTCCACTTACATGAGGTAAGTCAAATTCATAGAAAGTAGAATGGTGGTTGCCAGGAGTTGTAAGGACGGGAAAATAGGGAGTTAAGGTTTAATGGGTATAGAGTTTCAGTTTTGCAAGATAAAAAAAGTTCTGAAGATTAGTTTCACAACAATATGAATATATTTCACACTACTCAAAAAATGTTAATATAAAATGTAAGGCACAAAGCCCATTAAATCTAAAAATACCACTGTGGGGATGCCTGGGTGGCTCAGTCGTTAAGCGTCTTGCCTTCGGCTCAGGTCATGATCCCAGGGTCCTGGGATCGAGCCCTGCATCGGGCTCCCTGCTCACCCCTCTGCCTGCTCTGCCTGCCGCTCCCCCTGCTTGTGCGCTCTGACAAATAAATAAATAAAATCTAAAAAAAAGAAAATTAAAATACCACTGTGAACTCATAACCTTATTAAACATTAAAAACTTTCCAGCTGTGACACAGAAATGGCCCAGCAGCAAGGTTATCCTACCCACCATGTGAACACATCTAGTATTTTCCTAGTCTTTTGCATTATTCTCCACTAAAAAGAAATCAGCAATCTTTTTTTTTTTTTTAAAGATTTTATTTATTTATTTGAGAGACAGAGAGAATGAGAGAGAAAGCACATGAGATGGGGGGAGGGTCAGAGGGAGAAGCAGACTCCCTGCTGAGCAGGGAGCCCGATGCGGGACTCGATCCAGGGACTCCAGGATCATGACCTGAGCTGAAGGCAGTCGCTTAACCAACTGAGCCACCCAGGCGCCCCAGAAATCAGCAATCTTTATAGTGTAGCTACTCTGTCTTGGCACAGATACACCTCGTTGTTGCTAAAATGAAAGTAATGATAATAACAACATTAACGATAATAATATTAGCAGCCAACACGTACTGAGTACTTGTTACGTGGCCAGATACTGTTTTAGGTGCTTTACATGCGCATTCATTCATTTACAGCTCATAATGACCCTATATGGTGGATATTATGATCCTCTTTTTAAAGATGAGGAAATTAAAGCACAGAGAGGTTAAGAAACTTGTCCAAGGTCATACAGCTGGTAAGCGGCTAAACAGGCATTTGAACCTGCTCCAAAGTCTGTCCTCTTAACCAGTACGTTATACTGTCTCTCCGGAGACAAAAGTACTTAAAAATCCATCTGGATAGAATTGAAAGGACAGGAAGCAGTCTAAAAAGACTCCTAACAGGCCAAATGCAATTTAAACACAGAAAAGAGGGTGATAATTATGGTTAACCATGTTATGGAAAGCCAGGAGTCCCTAATGATTCTCAAAAACGGAAAAAAACTAACTCAAGAATTATAAAACTATAGCTATAATTCAAAAATAAGGATGGCTATGATCAGGTAAGTTGAATTTTTTAAGCAGTTACTTATACTGAACAGTGCAGACAAGTATATGTCTGCCTCACAGTATTTTACTCTATGAAAGGACATGGTAGAACACAGAGTGAGGGATGTGTATAGGTCAGGTTTGGGGAGGCTGCACTAGAAGAATTATGTTTACACAACCATGGCATAAACAATCTGGTAGTTTTCTGAGCTGTAAGGTCAGATCTATAACGGATACCTACATTCAGCAAGGAATCTCCCATGTGTTAGTCAAAAGCGCTTTGATAGCCTACACGAACCGCGGGTAGGCAAAGACCTGGACAACCCTCAGCATCAGGGCTGTTACCTCTTATGTCCCCTCAAAGTGTGTGAGGTACAGGTGAGCTGAAAGGTGAAAGGAACATCTATGCACATTTGGTGGATTTACACCCACGGACAAATGCCATTTGGGGATTTATTAAAGTCCAGCACAGTCTCCATAAGAACCCTCACTAACCCTCTCCCCCACACCAACAGGCAGAGAACTGTCAGGAAGCCAAACAATTGCAGAAAATGCAGGAATCGTACCCTTAACAGAAAGGCCTGGTTACAGAAAAGAACCAGCTAGAAAGAAGGCAAATGTCTTGCCCAGCTGTATATCTCTGAAAGAAAACTACAGTCTCATGTCCTTGTCTCCCGGGAGATGGAATCTCCACCAATTACAGGAGATGCATTTAATTACAGGTAAGTGGTAAACCAAAGCGGAAAATATACAACTAAGACACAGTGGACTTGGATACTAAAAAAGGGGAGGTGCTAGGTTAGAAGAAAGGGTGTAGGTTTGGAAAGTCCCTCTGACATGGTAAGGAAATCTTGACTCCAACAGGGGCTTGGCTTTATGAACTCAGGCATGTGTTCCAATCACCCTCAAAGGAAAAATCCTATTCCATTAAGAATCTCCAGGATGACTGCCCAGAACTTACAAATTCGGCTGAGCTGAGAGGGTTCGTTTAGGGTCTGACGCAAGTACTGGACACCTAATAAGGCTATGAGGACAAGTATACTAACCTCAGGAAAATAGAAATATTGGCATCCTAGAGAAATTAATCAAGCCTGGAATGAAAAATTTTTAATAAGTGTAGGTGAAATACTAAGTTTTTGAAAAGACTGATTATTTTAGAGAATGCAAAAGTGGAGGGGGGGCAGACGGAGAGATTCTTCAAGCAGACTGCCCGCTAAGCGCAGAGCCCGACACAGGGCTCCATCTCATGACCCATGAGATCATGACCTGAGCCAAAATCACAAGTTGGTCGCTTAATCGACTGAGCCACCCAGGCACCCCGAAATAATAAGTTTTATGATCACTGGGATAATTTTATATTTGATGCATCTGGAAAAAAAAAAACATCGTATTAGGCTTATCATTTTATTTACTGAAGTACTTAGTAACATTTGATTATGTCAGCACTAAAAAGAATTTGTATTGCATAATTTGTAAGTCTGGATTTATTAATATGTCTGTGGTTGTATTAGTTGTTGACCTTAAATACATTTGAGGGGATAATGACATAGTATATATAAGAAACCACTTTCTCAATCTCTCTTACTACTAATGATGTTAAATGGAAGTAAGTCTTGTGCAGAACTTCCGGGAAGTCTCCTAAAAAGAGAGAAAACAGCTCCTCTTCTACCCTTCGTCAGTCCTGCTGTCAGGACATGTGATGGCTCTTGCCAGCACTCAGTACTGTGAAAAGGTGAGCTGGAAGGAGCCTGTGTCTCTGGGAACCAGGGAGCTTGCTCTTTCAGCCCAGGATGACTTCCTCTGGACTCCTTTGCGTGATACATTTCTATCTTGTTTAAGGTGTTTTTTATTTTGAAGCTATGATTACTGGCAGCTGGGGAGGGAGAAGTTAAAGCAGCTGGCCTCCAATTCTTTCATTCTGTGTGTGTTGAGGGGCGGGGGCGGGGAGCAGACAGAAACATTCCCAGGGAAAAGGAGATAAATGACCATGTCTAATTTTTTCCAACTGGCCCTCCAGGTGAACAGACCAGGAATTGGTAAACTATGGCCCCAACGACCAGCTGCCTGTTTTTGTAAATAAAGTTTTATTGGAACACAGCTATACCCATTTATGTACTGATGTATTGTCTATGGCTGTTTTTGTGCTGCAATGGCAGAGTTGAGTAGTTGTATCAGACATTATGGCCCGCAAAACATAAAATATTTACAGAAAAATTTTTGCTGGCCCCTGAAATAAACTAATAATATTTGCTAGGGGAAAGTGTCCTTTTCTGTAGAATGCTTGGCTAAGGATTACTTATAGTAAATAAACCTACAATCTACGAGGCATGGCTTCCAAATGATGGCCATATACACCATACAACTCTCTGTGGCATAAAATGGAGATGTTGTGTAACTTAAATGCCCCCCACTGTGCAAAGTAATAACCCACAAAACCTTATTTGGAGACCTCATCTATTGAACTGTTCTTAAACTCTGGTTTGCACTATTGCTCCTTCTCTGTTCCTGTGCCAGTGTCCACTGTTTTGTTAACTGTAGGATTGAAGAATTAAGACCTTGTGGAGCTTTATTTCTGATGGATACCAAACTCATCCTGCTGTCTGCCCTTTTATTTCTGTGTGAAGTTATGAGAAACTTCTATGTTTTGGGGTGCCTGGGTGGCTCAGTCACTTAAGCGGCTGCCTTCCGCTCAGGTCCAGGGTCCTGAGATAAGAGCCCCGCATCGGGCTCCCTGCTCCGTGGGGAGCCTGCCTTTCCCTCTGCCTCTCTCTCTCTGTCTCTCATGAATAAATAAATAAATAAAATCTTAAAAAAGAAAAGAATGAAATACTTTTATGTTTTGTTATGTAGTGGTTATTGGTGCTCCCACTCAGATTCCCTTCAATCCTTTTTTCACCTTTTTTTTTTTTTCCCCCAGATCCTGCCTTGCTCAAACGCAATGAGCCCAATAGGCCTGGAATTTTGGTCCCCAGGATAGCCCTCATTGTATGACTGACGTGTGAGAGAGCTCCCTTGCTTAAGGTCGGAACAATCCAGAGGCACACATTTCACTCCGGAGCTCCTTGGATGATCAGGCTGAAGGACTTTGGGAGCCCAAGCCTGGTTGGTTCTCCTTCCCTTTTCCTGTTTTGCTCCTCCCACTCCTGTGCTAGTCTCCCTTGGGAGCACCTCCTTTATCATTTGCACACAAATCTTTGTCTCAGGGTCTGCTGCTGGGGAGCCTAATCCATGATACCTAAGAAGCAGAGAAAACCCAGGGATTTACCTTCTAAAACTGATGTTGAGATTGGCAGTCAAGACAATTCCCTCAGCTATAACTGCACACATACCAACAGTAGAATCAATCATGGTTGCAATGGCACCTCCGAGAAGGAATCTAGTTACAACAACAGAGAAAGAAAAATGTTTTCAGAAGGCTGAAAAACAGAGCCTCTGGAGAGAAATCATCCAAGCACATCTCCATATAATTTACTTATGAAATGCCCACTTGGTCCATGTTCAATGAACTCAATATCCATGTCCCCAGCTTTATTTTATTCATAGTACAATAGTATAGTATTGGTAATACACCAGAACTTAATGGTAATCAGATCCCAAGCAAGCAGAAAGCTAAAATATAATTTAAGAAATGTATATCATGTTTTTAACTGTATATATCATTTAAAAATGTAGGAAATGAAGATAAACAGAAAGAAAAATAAAAATTGTAAGGCCTATAATCCCACCATCTAGTGACAAATCACTGTTAACATGTTAATGATACTCTCTCAAATTATACTGTTGCCCTGTTCCATGCTTTTGTGATTTAATATTTATAAACATCTTTCCATGTCAATTAATATGTATATCTACATTGCCACTTCAATGCCTTTACTGTAGTCTATGCATATGTATGACTGAAAGCAATTTTTCATTTTTTTAAAAGATTTTATTTGAGAGAGAGAGAATGAGAGAGCGCACAAGAGGGAAGAGGGTCAGAGGGAGAAGCAGACTCCCCGCTGAGCGGGGAGCCCGACGTGGGACTCGATCCCGGGACTCCAGGATCATGACCTGAGCCGAAGGCAGTTGCTTAACCAACTGAGCCACCCAGGCGCCCTGTAAGCAATTTTTCAGACCAACATTTCTATTGATCAATGGGATGCTATCATTCTTAGCCAGGTGCTCCTTGCAGGTAAGGACCTCCTTGAAATATGCAAACTGTCCTGTTTCAACATGATTATGGAACATTGCATATTCAAACCCCAGATCTTCCTCAAGGCTTCTGGGAAAGAGCTGGGCTTGTGACATGTGTTCTTTTATAGGCTTTGCATCTGTAGGGAAATGAGGTGGATGGGCATGAGAAAACACGTATGAGAAAGATTCCCTGACTGAGTTAAGCATCTGTACCTTGCGAGAACCACAGGTTAATGGACGACTGATTAAAATGTTACCCAGGTACAAAATTAGAGGGAATGGGAGCATCCCACAGAAACAGAATATACGATCTTTGCCGTTGTGGACTTAACAGTCTAACTGGGGACATAGTAAACATTAATGAAATCAAAACCAAGTACTTACTCACACATGGCAATCAGGAAATACAGTACATAATTGCTGAGGGCGTACTAAATGAAATAGTAAATAAGGTACAGACAGAAAGTCTTCTTGGAATAAGAATGGCTTAAATGGGATTTAAAGAAAATGAATAGTGTAACAGTAGGGAGGTTTCCTTTGCAGAAGTGAGTTTAGCCTCAGCAGAAGAAAGTTATCATACTGAATCAAAACCAGGTCCAGTTCAGTCCAATACTCTGTGTGACTAAGACTCTAAGGCCCCAAACTCAGGGTTAGAAGCATTAAGGTTCATGAAATCAAATTAGTGAGTTGTAGTCAGACTTAAACAGAATGCTTCACATGTATCCTGGGTAACAACTAGTATACTTGTTTAGATATGCTTTTTCAGTTATACAACTGTATACAAGTTGTGTGTAGTGGGTTGTGAGTCAAAATGCAGGTCACTTCAAAGCAAAGACTGAAAGCTATTTTCTAAAGGTAGGGCGTGTTTATCCTTACACATCTATGTTAAGATTTAATTCCCAAACTCTGATTTCTTTCTTGGCTCATCATGATTTGCCATGCATAACACTAAGTTTCTTTTATTGTTACTGAATTTATATTTACAAAGTTTGAAAAAGATATGAGATGAGAAGATTTGCGAGAAGCAGGGAGAATGGCTTCTATTTAGGCCATGAACATCCTGTGGGGCAGGTGCCCTGTCTTTTAGACTGTACGCTCAACAAGCGGCATACTGTGTATGCACACACTATACGCACTCTAGTGGTTGTTGAGAAAATTAAGTTCTTGGCCTAGAACTTGTTCCGTCCTCCACACTTTATCCCTACAGTGAGGGGATAAACCTCAATGACCTCGGAGATCCATCCAACTCTGACACTGGAACTTCAGGATAAGATAAGCAATAGACCCTTCTAATTTTTTACTTAGGAGTTTAAAATCTCTGATCTAGATTACCAAACCTTGAGATTATTTCATAAAAATGAGAAAAATAAAGATGGTAAAATAAGTTTGTTAGAAATGCAAACTCTTAGGCTCTACCCCTGACCTCCTGAAGCACAGCGTGCGTTTTAACAAGACTCTCAGGTGCCTCATATTCATGTTCAAATCTGAGAGGCACTGGCCTTTTACAACATGGGATAACAATGACGGTGGTAGAGGAGTGACATGGCTGGACTTGCATTTTGAATCACTCTGCCAGCTATCGAAAGGAGGGACTGATGGGGATGAGAAAGATGAGCTAGAGGACCACTGAAACACTATAAAATCATGGTCACCAGCTCATCCCCTGAGTGAGGTGACGGTCTCCAGTGTGTGAAAGATGATAGGTGGCTACATTCGTCCAGGGCTGGGGCTTTCCTAGATGAGTAGGCCAGAGAGGTTCAGACAAGTGAGGTCAAAGAATTGCTTCCATGGGCCCTAAACAAACAAGCTGGAAGGAAGACAACCATGGTCAGGAAACAGTGTCTAAACGTGTGAATGTGGAGGTTGTTCACTTGTTGCAGACAAGGCTCAGGATGTCTCTCGCAGTGTGCGGCTGGGGCTGGGCAAAGAAGAGCTCACAGCTGACAGGAAGCTAAGTGAACTGAGGAGTGGCGGAGAACGGTGGGGATTCAGAGGGTGAACCAGGTGTTGAGACACTCAGTATGTGAGGGAGAGGTTGGCAGAAGACAGCAACACAGAGAAGAGGAGGGTGAAACGTCAGACGGTAGAAACCTCAAAGGAATGGGGGTTTCTAAGAGGAACAGGAAGTAATGGGTTGAAAGCACGTGTGGGTAACAAGGAGAACCTCCACGTCCCCCCCTATTCAGAGAGGGCCAAGTTTCAGGCAAGAACCATAAGCCATTTGGGAAAGGAACCCTGGAAAACACTGATATTTAAGGAGTAGGGAGGAGAGAGAGAAGACTGGTCAGAGGTTTGTGAAAGCCGAGAGAAGTTCCAAGGAGAATGAGATCAACAGTGAGGTCTAGTACTGTAAGGGCCAAAAAATGCCCTCCAAATTTGGTATTTAGGTCACTGGTAGCTTAGGCGAAGAAACTTCCATAGAGCTGTTGGGGGAGAAACTAGATCACACTGTTAAAGACATTCAACTGTGTGACAGGATAAAGAGTTGGAATGGAATTAGTAATACAAGTTACTAATTTTTGCCCTTCATTTGTAAAACAGAGTCCTTCTTATTTTTCTCTATTGGAAGTTCTACAAAGCATCTTGTGAACTCTACTGTTTTTTTGGTTAAAAGTAGTTTTATTGTTATTTCACCCGTTCTTTCAACACATGCTGAAGTACCTACCATGAGGAAACGGAGACAAGGAAAGGTAAAGTAACTTGCCGAAGATCATACAGTTTTAAATTGTGGAACCCAACTGGAACCCACACACTAAACTTCAGCATTAAAGTAGGAAGTTGTCAGCTTTTGGATGGTATCCAAAGCCATGTGACTGACTGGGATTACCAGCAGAGTATATAGAGAAGAAAGGAGTCCTGAGGGCTGAGATGTGGGGCACCCTAACATAAAGAGTTTGAGGATGAGGAACCAGCAAAAGACAAGGACAGGAAAGGACCAGTTAAGTAGGGGAGAGTGCTGTCTTGGACGCCAAATTCAAGGGGAAAGGAGGCACTGGCTGTACCAAAAGCTGAGAGGTCACTGGTTAACATCATGAAGGTCACTGTGCCCTTGACAAGAGTAGTTTCAATGGAGCAATAAAATCTGACTGGAGTGGGTTTAAGAGCGAATGGGAGGAGAGTTGTGGCATGTCTGCGCACTGATGAGGAAAGACCCAGCACAGTGGGAGGTCTTTAAATAGTAGGCCAATGGGGAGGGAATGCAGTGCATGGAAACAAGGCTTGGCTCCCCTAAGAGGATGGGCAGTTCATTGGTAACAGGAAAAAGCAGAACACCAGGCACAGATGCAGGGAGTGGATAAATGAGACAGTGGGAGCTTGAAAGTTCTCTTCTGATTGCTTTTATTTTCTCTTAGGGGAACAGGAGGCAAGATCCACTGAAATCAAGGCTTGAGAAGAAGGTAGGTATCCGATATGGCCATCTAGGAGAGCAGGAGCGTGAATAGACAGGGGAAAATGAAAAATGCTTGTCAGGCAACATTAAGGAACTACTTGAGGTCATTTTATAAAAAAAAACGTAATAATCCCGGGGAGCCTGGGTGGCTCAGTCAAGCGTCTGCCTTCAGCTCAGGTCACTATCTCAGGGTCCTGGGATCGATCCCCCCCACATCAGGCTCCCTGCCAAGCAGGGAGCCTGCTTCTCCCTCTTCCTTGGCCCCTCCTCACCCCCTACTTGTGCTCTTTCTCTCTCTCACAAATAAATAAAATCTTAAGGAAAAACAAACAAAAAACCCATCACAATCCCCAAACTATCCTAAGGACGAATTTGGAAGACTAAAATATAATGAGTAAATTAGGAAATATCTGTATAAGCTCCATGAGGTCAGGGACCCTATCTGTGTACTCAGGCCTATTCTAGGACTACAGTATCTAGGGCAGCCCAGACGCTCAACAGATAGTTATTGAAGGAATAAATACTGGATTTGCAAATAAGAAGCCAAAAAGGGGGGCGCCTGGGTGGCTCAGTTGGTTAAGCCTTTGGCTCAGGCCATGATCTCAGGGTGCTGGGATCAAGCCTCACATCGGGCTCTCCACTCAGTGGGGAGTCTGCTTCTCCTTCTCACTCTCCCTCTGTGCTCTCTCTCTCACTGTTTCTCTCTTTAAATAAAATCTTAAAAAAAAAAAGACTTATAAAAGAAGCCAAAAAGGTCTTTATAGGCTGACCCTAAAAATGAAGAATATATTAGGTATATACATAAACTTCAGTAAGGTTCAACAAACTGGCCACGTAGGTGCAGAAGAGGGGAGACCAACAGTTCACACAAATGACACAGGGTGTTAGCTGACTTGTTAGTGGCAAGTGGGACATGGCTACCTACCTAGTGCTAATGTCTTATTCTACACTGAAAGGATATAACTGGTTTCAAGCTTAGTTCTGGGAAGCATACACTAAGAAGAATTCTGAGAAACTGGAATATGTCCTGGAAAAAGCAACCAGGCTTGTAAAGGAGACTGATATATCCTCTGGGAGAAATACCTGAAAAAACAGAGAAGAGAAGCCTGGCAACAAGAACTGTCAGGCACAGGAGTGAGATGCATGTATCTAACTCCTACACATGAAAGGATGCTTATTCTGTGTGTTCCTAAGTATGAAAGGCTCAAGAGTGACTGTAGCTCAGTATAGTCTAAGGAAGAAATCACTAATAAGTAGAGCTGTCCAAAATGGAAAAAGCCCCTTTGTCCCAAGCACCCTATGACTAGAGGGGTTCAAGTGAAGTCTGGATGAATGGTCCTAAGGGTTAATATGGAAAGCAAGAGAAGACAGAGAAAAAGTTAGACTACAGTAGTGGGTCCCAACCTTCCTTCCATTCCAAAACAAGTCCACTGTCCTCTCCAACAGCAGTGGCTTAATAAGATTGCTGGGTTGTCACTCTGGAAAACAGTATGGAGGTTCCTCAAACAGTTGAAATTAGAGCTACCGTTCGATCCAGCAATTGCACTACTGGGTATTTACCACAAAGATACAAATGTAGGGACCCGAAGGGGTACATGTACCCCAATGTTTATAGCAGCAATGTCCACAATAGCCAAACTGTGGAAAGAGCCAAGATGCCCATCGACAGATGAATGGATAAAGAAGATGTGGTATATATACACAATGGAATATTATGCAGCCATCAAAAGGAATGAGATCTTGCCA